TATTATTATTATTATTATTATTATTATTATTATTATTATTATTATTATTATTATTATTATTAAGAGTCTTCTCCACAAATTTAATACCCTGAACTTCTTTTGTAGTGGGAATCTTTTTTTTTTCCTCAGTATTTACTCAAGTGAAATTTTTCAGAAATTAGAAACAGGGATATTTATTGATCTTTATTGATCAGAAACTGGAAACTTTTCAGAGGCTAGAAACGAGGGATATTTATTGATCTCACAGGCTATTGTGAATATTGTCTACTGGATGTTAAGATATCCCAGAATTATCTACATACCTTTTCCAAATAAACGTCTTGTGGAGTTGATGATGTTTCTGATCGGTTTAAGCCAATTAACCCTGTAATGGAAGCACACTCCGGACCGTTAAACATCCCTGTCACTGTTTCATCCTCAAGTGCCCTTTTCACGGAAAAATAGTTCCTCGCGATGAATCCGGGAACCCGCTCAGTCAAGAGGACAGAGAGAGAGAAGCGAAGGAGCAGTTTGAGAAGAAAGAACGGCACCCAGGTGAGTCGAGGGGGGTTAAATCTCTCCACGGTTTTCAGATCCATTTTATAGAGCTGTTGGGTGTCGCAGACTCTCCGAGGTGAGTCTAGTAAATCAGTACAGGTGTCGTCCTTGGCCTTGATCACCACTGACCCCCAAATTTCTGTTGCTAAGTGAAACATTTGTTAAAGGGATTTTGCCCCATTTTACGGCCTTTCTTGCCACAGATTTTAAGTGAATTACTGCGCTTGTTAAGCTAGTAACGCGGTTGTTAATAATAATAATAATAATAATAATAATAATAATAATAATAATAATAATAATAATAAAGTTGGAAGGGACCTTGGAGGTCATCTAGTCCAACCCCCTGCTCAGGCAGGAATCCTACGCCGTTTCAGACAAATGGCTGTCCAGTCTCTTCTTAAAAACTTCCAGTGTTGGAGCATTCACCGCTTCTGGAGGCAGGTTGTTCCACTGGTTAGTTGTTCTCACTGTCAGGAAGTTTCTCCTTAGTTCTAAGTTGCTTCTCTCCTGGATTAGTTTCCATCCGTTGCTTCTTGTCCTGCCTACAGGCGCTTTGGAGAATAGCTTGACTCCCTCTTCTTTGGGGCAGCCCCTGAGATACTGGATATTGTTAAGCAAATCCAGCTTCCTCCACTGACTTCGCTTGTCAGCAGGTCACAAAAGGGGATCACGTGACCTCTCCGGGACGCTGCAACCGCCGTAAGTACATGCCAGTTGCCAAGCATCTCAGTTTTGATCATGTGACCACTGCAACGGTCGCAAGTGTGAAAAACGGTCGTAAGGCCCTTTTTTCAGTGCCGTTGCAACTGTGAACGGTCGCTAAATGAACTTCCCCGTTGACTTTGCTTGTCAGAAGGTCGAAAAATGGGACCCCGTGGCCTTAAGATACAGCAACAGTTTGTAAATATGAGTCAGTTGCCAATCATGCGAATTTTGATCACGTGATCATCTCAGGGGCGCTGCAAGGTCCTGTGTCCCTTTTTTTCAGTGTCGTTACAACTGGAGATGGTGGCTAAATGAACGGTCGTAAAGTCGAGGATTATGGGGGTTGGGCTAGATGACCTTCAAGGTCCCTTCCAACTTTATATTATTATTATTATTATTATTATTATTATTATTATTATTATCATCATCATCTTGAGTTCTATCTTACACCCACATAAACCGATGCAATTTTGTCACGGATGGAAATTTGAAGAAATTTGCAAGATTGGAAATATTTGTCCTGCCCTGAATTTGCTTCCTCGAATCGGGAGTCCCCAGCAATCAATAATTTATATTTTGGGTTAAGATGACGTTTTGGGTACAGGTGCTCCTCGATTTGCGACCGTTTGTTTAGTGGCCATTTGTGGTGGTAATAACGGCACTGAAAAAAGGGACTTATGACCCTTTTTCACACTTAAACGACCGTTGCCGCATCGCCCACGGGTCACCTGATCGAAATTCAGACACGTGGCGACCGACTCCTACTTATGACCACTGCAGCATCCCCAAGGTCACGTGATAGCAGTTCGCATGCTTGGCAATTGACTCATACTTATGGCGGTCGCAGCGTCCCCGGGGTCATCCGATCCCCTTTTGCGACCTTCAGACAAGTGAAGTCGACGGCGGAAGCCAGATTCAATTAACCAACGTGTGACTAACTTCCTAGCTGCAGGGGTTCCCTTAACAACTGTGGCGAGCAAGGTCGTAAAACGGGGCACAACTCACTTAACAAATGGGGCTGAATTGTCGTAACACCGAAACACACACACCCCCGCTATACTTTCCGGATCATTTTCTAGTTGCCAAACGAATGACCGTTGTTTTTTAATGAATCATACACGTAGGTATTTTTCTCCGGGGGGGAGGCTGGAGAGACTCCCCACCAGAGTCCCCCCCGTTAATTTCACTTTCGGTCCAGGCATCCCTGCTCTTTTGTGCGTAATAACCGCGCGGCCCTCCGTGACACGGTTTGACAATGTCCCTTCCTGGCCCCGGAGGCCGCCGAGCAGAGCCCGGGGGTCCTTTGAGAAGACGAATCCCGGGAGATTAGGCTGACCCGCTAATCTGCCCCGTTCATCCTTCGACAATAGCTCACACGGGAGAGCAAATTAAGTGC